GGTGAGTAGTAGAGAAGAACTAAATTAGTATAAATATAATATATATATATATATATATATATATATATATATAGTGTAATATGATATGTTAAATTAAGTTAAAAACTTATGGACATATGGTAATCACTTCTACTTAATAAAGTAGTTATACACAGGAACTTGTATATTGTAATTGAGATTTTGAAATTGAAACTTTCTTATTATTACCAATAATCGTATATTATAACTGGTGACATGTTAATGAGTTATAAACTGTAAGTTAAAAAATAAACCTCATAAAATTGTAAAGCTTTTGGCTTTAATACAGTTCATATGAATAAGACCACAATTAACACGTTTTGATTGTTATTATCCATTTTTTTAGTTCTGGCTTCTGGTAGACTTATTTTAATATGCAAAAGCTACTTACATGCACATATTTATCCACATTCTGCTTTTTATCCCTCTTTATTTTCAGATTTCATTTCGATTTTGAATTGGTGAATTTCATTAATACATTTGTAGACACTGAACTTGATCTACCAGATGAATGGATTTCAAATTATGATCGATTTGGGAAGGTAAAAATTGTTTTTGTAAAATATCTTACTTTCATTATTTCAGTTTTTGTCATTTCTGACCAAATTTATCAAACCACTTATCTGTTAAAAAATTATTAGATTATTACTGAAATGTTTCTTTTTTCTTATTTGTTTGTTATTCGAAAAGAGTAAAACCAAGGGATTATAACATAACAGAACAGCATTCCCTTTACTTTGTAATTTTGCCTACACCATGTTGATGTGATTGGTATGCTGCTATTGCAAACCTACTCAGAATTCCAATTTAACTACTAGATATAACAATGGATGGGAATAAAGAAACTTCTATTTAGAAAACACAAGAGATTTCTAAATAATAATACTCTTGAACCATAAGATGAAATATAATTCATTTGCATGTACCACAACAATTAGATAATGTTAAAATCAATTTAATTGGTTAAAGAAGAAAGAAAGAGTTGAAAGGTGTCATTTTTGCTCCATTTAACAGCATATTGCTATAGTTCAGATACGAAATCAGATAAGAAAAGGAAACATAACATTTTATAAATTTCAATATACAACAATTGATTTGAAATACTTTCTTTGTGAAAGTAGTTTATTTTCTGTATAAAGATATGCAATATCTTAAGAGTAAAACACATTTACAATTTGTTTTTGTAGGGTATCTATATTTAACCACCTAGTACCATGAAATTCAGTGCAAACTTGATAAGTTTCAGGCGTGTTTGTTGCTGTGTGATATGTTTGATATTATTGTAAAAAATATGTATGTGTACTCATGTTGTTGTAGTATATTTGGATGATTTCAGCTACTAGATTTTTTAGGCTTTTAACTGATTAACATATACATAAGAAGCTTTGGTGTTGTACTCGTTAAAGGTCAAGTGGCACAAATCAGTTATGTGTAGTCGCTGATAAGTTCACATAAACTTGTCAGGTTTGTTTTAAACTATAAATGATGCTAGAATTGTACTCCAGAAAGACAGTAAGGCCATTATGTGTTGTCTTTAGCTCTAACAATATTGAGGCAGTTGACTGGACTTGGATCTGCAACTGATGCAAGCTGCTTAATTAATACTTACCAAGTCAACTATGGCAGATTCATCAATGCGACTAAATTTGCTTGAAAGATTATTTGAGTATAGTAGTATGGTTAATCCTGTTGTAGCCAGGAATGTATTTCCAGTCAGAACAGTAGCCTCCGTTTATATGATATCATGTCATACTTATATCCTGGAGATGACAAATTGAAATGTTGAACATGGAATGTTTATAAGCTTAAAACTATAATATAAACTAAAACTAACCACACTTCTAAAAACATAATATTTAGCTAATAAAGTTTTTAAATATTATTGCTTTAGCTATATCTGCACATCAAATAAACATTTATTTATCAACATATTAAGTACTACTACTGTGTATTGTTTATTTTATTTGAATTTATGAGCAAAGAACTAAAACTTAACTTAGTTTTTGATTCATTATGAACATCATGAACTGTGTTACTGTCAGCTTTACATATGAAATTGGGTATTTTTTAAATTGAATGTTATCCTTAGCTCGTACATTATTTTATAAATTTGTAATATGCTTTATTACTTTCACATTTTTCCATTATAAAGTTTGTGGAATCTGCATTGGTTCATTTTTAATTTCTGTGGTTGTGATACCTTGATGCAACTTGTCATAACATCGTGCTTTCAATTGTTAATTTTCGTAAAATATTTATTTTGTAATTTGTTCAATTAGCCTGATGACAAGCCTAAGAGTGGGACTAAAAATTGACTATTAAAGTAGTGTTGAGAGGAGGAATTTCAGTGTTGTAATGATTGAAAATTAAAGATTAGTTACCTTTACCATATTTGAGATGTATGCATAGTTAAAGAATTTGAAAAATTTAGTATCTTATAGAAATCAAAATCATGATTGTTTTTGAAAGGAATTTTTTCTAAATCTTTTATCATTTAGAAAAACATTTAGGTTGAAAAAAACGTCCTGTGTCAGTTAATGAAAACAAAAATGTTTCTCAAAAATATATTCTAAATTTTTAATATGTTTGTGAATTTCTTTTTTTGCAGCAAAATTGTTCACTGTATTCTAATTATATAATTTTTATTCTTGATCCAATATACATTAAGATTTTGTTACCTATTTTTTCTTTGTGAAAATACTTCACTTTAAAAAGTGCAGGTCAAAAATTTGATAGAGATCTTTTCCAGGAATTTTGTTATATTTTAACCATAAGAACACGTTTTCTGAATTTTCAAATTACGCTTAACAATAAATAAACTGTTTTTTAAGTTTTAATTTAGTTTTGCAATTGTGTATTTGAAGCTGAGTTCATAAGATATGTGTACATATTCAGAAAAGTGGTGTGCATTGTTAGTACTTATGATTACAATTTAAGAAACAAATTCACAGCTGACATGGTTTGACTAAGTTTTGGTTTCAAACAGTTAATAAACAGACATCAGACAGCTACATAAAGCTCACTGAAGGCATGTTCTAAATAAAATACTTTTTCACTTTCATGTTTGAATGTTTGTTCACAGGAGCCATCTGGTGATAAATTCAACATTTCATACCAAACATATGAGGGCAATAATAAACAGTCTTCACATAAAAGAGGATCTACCAATTAACAGATAGAGGCTACAACTTATTGAACAAGTTTATATAAAGTTGAATTTTTTACTACATCTGTCATATATAGATATATATATAAGTTGTATATATTTCATTTTCATAAAAGCAAAACAACTTTTGACAACATTTTGTTTTTACAGCAATACTTCTTCAATAAGACAACTAAAATAATAACTATCATTGACCCACGGATTGTCCTGAAAACTTCAGATAGCAGCTCATTGAGCAGTGAAAGCTACAACCCACCATGTTCACCTAGTAGTAGTCAAGTTTCCTGTTTGCCTGATTATAACAGTAACCAAAGAGTTGATCCATCCATCTCAATAAACCAAAATACTGATCTTCTCATCTCTGATACTAACTGTTCTTCCAATCCATCTATTCTGACAAGAAGAAAAGAGGTTACCAGTCACAGCATCTTTAATAGAAACCATTCTTCCAGTGCCCCCATGTCTCCAGCTTGGAGTCAAGATACCAACCAGTGTATGTCTGACAATACCCAAAACATTGATTCTTTTAATTCACTTCAGAAAACCAAAGATACCACCCAGTTACAGTATTCTGATTTGAACCAAACTATCAGATTGGAGGACTGTTGTAGTAATTCTTTAGAAAATGATGGCATGTTGGTAAGGAATAACAGGGGTTCTAGAACAAATCTTGAGTCATCATTGACATCAAATAAGGTGAGTTTTAGTAAAACAAAATTACAGTTGTTTATTTAGTAAAATGAAATATAAACTTAATAATAAGTGTTGCCATACTTATTATTCTGAAACAATCTTATTCTTCCCAGTCAACACAAGGATATCCTGTCATTCCACCATTCCCTGCAACAGCAGAGCCACTAAATGAACCTTTTGTCACCTCAACAGACAATCTTTCCTATAATGAAAAAGTTGCAAGTTTCTTTTCACAACCCAATATCTTAGAAATTTTGATGGAGCGTCATCCACTTCTTAAAGAAGATTCTGACATGAAAGCAAAGGTTGAAAGGATACATCATGAGGGCATAGTTGCCTTGGATGAATTGGTTGATGACATAGACATTGCAATTTTAATTAGGTAAAGCTAGTTTATATATAAAATAACTAAGAATTTTCTTAAAATAGTGAATCCTAGAGAAACAGAAGTGAATTGTTAATGATATGAAGCACTCAAAGAAAACAAATTGGAATATAGCTTTAATGTTTGTTATCACTTTTATGTGTTCTTCAATGTCTAATGAAAGATTCTTCTTAATTACAAATACAGTATTAGCTGGTTTAACTACCAAAGTCTCTATTCTATTGTAAAAAGAAATTTTACCAGTGTACTCAAGAAAATTTCAAGTAAAATGAGAGTCATCCAATACTGTAATGGTAACTGGAGACACTGATGGTCACTGGTATTTCTAATCCCAGATCCAAAATTCCCAACTTCCTGCTTCTGTTACTTCATTTGAGCCTGCCCCAATCTTGTAAGAGTTTCATCATTGTTGTTTCCACACCTGCTTTTAATTCTTGTTCCCTCTTCCTAATGTGGATCAGGTAGCCTTAATTTCATCCTTCATTGTATGGATTCTACAGATATCTTTTGCTTCCTTTTTCTCTGTAATGTTTAGCTGAATCTTGGGTTCCCTTGTTGTATGAGCCTCCTTCACCTGAATCTTTTCTTTCAGTTTATGGGTTTCCTCTTTTTTATTCATTTTTATTTCTCTCTATCTACTTGTCTTGATCTCTTACTCATCTTTTTTTTTTTTAATTCTTATGCTTCACCTTCATTTGGAGGCTTTCCATCATGACCCTATCAGCTTTACTGGGGCAACTTGCACCTACCTGATTTCCAATTTGCCCTCTGATTTCTTCCATTTTGTCCCAGTTTTTTTGTTCTCTTTGTTTTTGGGTTATACTTTCTCAGGTTGCCTTGCATTCTGATTTTTACCTTCCTCAATTTCCTTTTCAGGACTTCTGTCTTGTACCTACTCTTTTTTTTTTTGGAGGTGTTTCTTATACATTGGTGTCTTGATCTGATGCAGCTCTTCAACATTCATCTCTTCTCACTATGGTTTTTTATCATATACAGCCTCATAGAGTCACCACCTCTTGTGTTCCTTGTCCTGTTGTTACTATTCACTGTCCCCCATCTTTGAGGGCTGGCCATCAAGGGTCTTGGAGGCAATTTGTTTCTGGAGCTACTCCTTGGTTTTGGTCCTATGGTAGTTCTGCTTTCTTACTTTGTCAACTGGTTGACTCCCTTTACTACAGCCTGGTTTGAGTTCTTCAGGTGCTTTTTTTAGGTTTTTTCTGGTACTTCTACTCTCTGCTATGGAACAATTCCTCAACTCCAGTCATTGGTTTTTGCTGTTTTCTTTTTATTGTTCCCACAAAGATAGGAAGTTGTTGGCCAGACAATCTTAACCAACCTTTATTCTTTCCTTAGTTCTTGATGGATATTTTTCTCCCTCTTCAATGGATACTCTTCCCATTAATGAATGACCTGATTTGGGGTCTCAGGCACTTTCTCCACATTCTGATTTGTCTGCCCATCTTTTGCTGCCTTCATTTAGTCTGCACTTGTTGAACATTTGGTTCTCAGTCCTTTCCTTGATATAGCTATGGTCCCATCTTTTTTCATTGGATACTGTGGGTTTTTACTTATAGATTAAATTCTTAAGGGTTATTGTTCCACTGTTTTATGGATGGGCCTCTATATGCCCTTTCCAACATGACTTTTTCCTGTTGTGACCTCCTTTCTCCTTTGAGAGTCATCTCATTTGGAATGGTTTCTTTGGAACTCTATTTTGTTCTCAACCCCTACCCTATATTTCATTCATGTTTGGGGTTTTCTCACTTTGTATGCAGAGCAGGCTTGGCCTACTTCTTTGTGTGACATGGAGCTATTGATACTGGGGCACTAATTTTGCCTTCATTTTTTGCATTGGTCTCTTCGGGGACTCTTTTCTCTTGAGTCCCTCATACCTCTTGGATGTGCTCATACATTCCCTCTTCAGTGGTTTCTTGCCTGTTAGTGCAGGTGTTTCCTGGGAAACATAGTTTTCTCTTGGGTTTATGATGACTTGATTGATCCTACACAAACCTAGATGTCTCCCCCCACCTTACCCAGACTTGCATCTGTTTGGAGTGCTCAAAAGTCAGTCTGTGAGTGTTTCCACTTACATATGTGGGTTTATGTATGTATCTGTAGTAAGCAGCTGGAATCTGGTTTCCAGAGGTGAACTTTCTTTGTCTACATCCTTGAGCTGGTGAGTTGTCTACAGGTTTGGCATCATCTTTGTTGTCTGTTTGGTCTTTCTTTCATAGTTAGACACTTCTGTTGTTTCTTTCCTTCCCTGACAAGAAAGCACTCACTTCTAGGACCACTGTTTTCATTTGGGCCCACAGCTACTATATTCAGTTGTTGATCTATCATGCCTTGAAAGCTCAGGCCCTGGTGCAGATCAACTATCTTGCCTAGGCTTGGACCCTTCACGTAGAGTTGTCTCTTCATCCTCTGCTGCTTTCATTGGATTTGTTCCCACTATAGGCATCCTATCATCACTGTTTTTCCACCTCCTCTCCACTCCCTGCTTACTCTTATTTGGTATCCAGTCCCAACTGTACAACTCTGGTTGAAAATGCTCTGTGTCTGTTGTGATTCAACCTGTTTTTATATGCTTCAGACAAATTTCTTCCCCTTCTCCCTTTCAGGAGCTGTCACTTAATTGTGTTTTGGCCTCCTCTTACACCATTTGTCACAGAGACAGGTCCATCGTCCTTCCTGACCACCCCAAACATTGGGTGACTTAGGAGAATGATTGGATGTTTTTCTCTTCGTCCTCCCTTCCCATTCTTCTCTGTATGGTCATTCTTACCCAGATCATCTCCTTTGTTTTAAATGGTCTATTCATTATTATCTTACCCATACTGCCCCATTTTATGGCATTTGCCATTGTCTTCTTTCCCTGGGATTCCTCTTTCTTTTGTAGCTTATCCTCCTTCACTCTACCATTTTGTGTTAAACACTTCCTCTGGCTTATTTCTTCTCATTTTCCATGCCTTCTCCCATCATGTTTGTCATCTCACTGCTTGTTTTGTCTCTAGCTGTCAATGTTCCCTGTATGAGGTCTTGCAGGTGGTGATGTGGAAGACCACCAACACATTAGTGTCCCATTACTTATACCATTGGAAGGTTTCACTTACCCTGGCTTTTGTTTCTCTCCAGTCACCATTCTCCACTCATCACAGTGGCTCAAGGGTAAGTTGTTTATATTTTTCCTTTTTTTTTCAGATCTCATAACCATCTTATTCAGTATATATCAATAACACGGAGAAAATGCAACTCACTGAGTGGTTGGTGTTGCCTTACGGGAAATACTTGCTCGAAACTGGCATTGAGCTGGAGAGTATGGAAAGTGTTAAGCCCATCTACCCTTGTTCTGTGAGTTGTTGAGATGAGGTTTTTTGCAAGACAGCTTCAACATTGGCTATGTATATTATATCTTACAAGCCATTCTGCATTTAATAGAAAATGACAGCACTAGTTGTATGTCTTCCCTCACACCTGGTTCATGCCAGCTGTCATCAGTCACAGTTAGTCATTGCTTTATTTCTCAGTGTGGAACCTAATTCCAGATGATTGTGTTTGAGGACATTGGTACATGTATCTCACTAATGTTCTTTCTCATGTGAATTTTCCTCCATTTTTTTTTTTATTGGAGTGTGGGATAACCCTTGCTTCTCCAGTCCCAAGCTGCTTAGAAAGTCAATAAGGGGGAGGTTCCTTATGGGGTATTCCATTCCACTGCTACTAGACTGAGTGGATACAACTCAAATTTGGGAAGAAGTAGAGCTGGGATGTCACTTTGTAGTATATTACAGAACACTCCACTACGTTATGAACCTAGCCATTCACAGTGTTTAGATCCAGCCTGAAGGGTTTTGGGTTTGCCTTATGACACAAGTCTGGGATGCCACTCCCTGCATCTGATTTTTGTGGTTAGTATCTCTTGTAAGTATTTCTCCAATATAGAAAGGCCTGAGTTATAACTATCCACACACTATACTCATGCACAGCTGTCTGCGTGTGACATAATGGATGGTGTAGTGATATGCCATTCCACCTACTTTAGTGACATGTTAGCACCATGAAGTAGGTTTTTATGGCAATATTATTTTCTCTACCACCTTTGTTAGGTGAAGAGTATTCCCTGCTTGAGATAGATGCAGTCTTCCACCAATTGCTGCCCCACTAGTATACACTCTCCACACCTTGTGTATATCACACTCCATGGACTTTCCCTTTCTGAGGCTGTTCATCTTTGTCATTTTTTTGCATTGGCCCCTCAATCAAATTCAGTGTGGGATTCTAGCTCTTTGGCTTCCTGTGCTTCTAATTTGCCTCATCAAGAATGACCTTTGTTAATGTGCTAGTGACCATATGAATTACTGCTCATGGAGGATATGTCACCCTCTTATTGGTGGAAGGCTATATCATAGGCTGTCACACTACACATAGACATGTGTAGAGGTGGGAGCTTTTTCAGTGTACGTGGCATGCACAAGAAATTACAGAGCAGTGCTCACTAGGTAATAGCTCTCTGTGGTGCAGAGAGGTGAGTATGTATCTAAAATACACTTTAAGATAATAGAAATGTTAATGTTATGATAAAAATTATATATATATATACAGGGGCATACCTAAAGTATTTGGCACCCCCCATAAATAATTGTAAAACTTAAATACACAGAAAAATATATTATGTTTGCAAGTAGATTTTTAAACAGTATAGTGCTGTCATAAGCAAATTGGAAATAAGAAAAATGCAGGACATTAAAAATTCAGTGAACAGGTAATACCACATTTTATTTTATACAAAAAACACAGGAAATCCAGTCTCAATGCTAAGCCTATTATTCAAGGGTAAATAGAGAGGATTTACAGTCTTTGCTTTCGAGTGTTAATTTCTGCAAATTGACCAATGACCTCATCAAAATTCACCTTCTTTGCATATTCATGTTCAATTGAAAGTAAAGCCAGATTTGTCAATCTTGTCTGACTCGTGGTCAAGTGAAAGAAATTTTTTATCAATTTCAATTTTGAAAAACTTCTTTCACATGAAGCAATAGACACACGGATAGTCAAAAAGAATATCAAAAACAGTGACAAGCTTGGCAGAGATTCACAAAAATCCCATTTCACAATAAACTCCAGAAACTATAACACTGTCCATTTCTTTGCCTCTTCAACGCTGATTTTGGCATCCAATTTCCACACTAATATCTTCATCAGAGGATTCATTGAAAATCTGTGTCAAATTTGGAATATACTGCCAAAGTTCTTCTTCTGCTGCAACAACCAAAGTGTTTGGCTGAATAACAGCAAAGATTGACAGGATTTGATCCATTGTTTTATAATGAATCTCCAATTCTTGATTAAAGTGATCAAGACGTTCAAACAAAACTCTTTTTACTTCCTCTGGCAATGTGAGACCAGTATCCTTTGCCATCTCTCCTGGCATCTTTTTTTCGGAGATTTACTCTCCCTCTTCTCTCCATAGAAATGTCCATTTCCTCACACTTTGTATTTACATAATGAATGGCCTTCTCCACAATTTCATTGCGCTGATCTTCAAGAAAAAGTTTTAGAGCCTGGAGCTTCACAATGCACATTTCAAGGCTGATTCCAACTCTTTGCAAATACTTTTGTGCGAGATTAATTTCTTCCAGGACTTCACACCAGAAAAAAAAGTAACTCAAAAAAGAGAAATCAAATACAGCAGACAGCAAAATCTGAGCTAATCCTCATGTGTTCACATTTTCTTTGGGATTGCACAATACTTCAAGGGTTGAGGTCAACTTTTCAAAATTTGCCTTCACTGGGTTCACAGTGTCATAATGAGCACTCCACCTAATGAGTTATTTGGAACCAGGAATGGCCAAGCAGCAACATCAGAATAAATTGAAAATTTCTCTGTCTCCTCTTCTTCATCAGAGTCTTCCTCCTATCAATGTGGGCTTCAGACATTGACTGAGCCACCTGTTCTCTTTCCTTCTTCATTTTTCTTTGTTGGAATCCACTGAGTTGATTTTGCTTCATTGTGGATGTTTTCTGCATAATTTTAAAATCAAAAGGTATAAAGCATGAACTATATTATGATTTGAAATGTATTAACTGAATAAATTGTCTGTGATTATTATCATTATTATTATGGGGGGGGGGGGGGGTAAGTGCAAACCCATCCTAAAGAAGCAGAAAACTATGAGCATTACTCACAAATAACTAGACCACTGACAAAATAAAAATTAACAGTATTTCCAGTAAATAAAGAAGTAAAAAAAAAATGTATTGCAACAGAAAAGCTTCAAACAAGTGGTTCTTAAATGTTTTCAACCAGTTGCCCATTGGGTTATCAGATTATCAACCCAGGCAAGCAGAGACAATTAATTATTAATGTCATTGCATTAACACTAATTCAGTATAGTGTAGTATAACGCTAGCTATTATAATTGATATCATTATTTATTAAGTAATAAGCATTAACAACTTATTAAATATATAATGATACTACACTGGACATTGTAAAATTGTTGAAACTATGATGACTTAACAAAGCCAATAACTATTAGTACTAATTCAATATAGAATAGTACTGTAGTTGTTGATGTAAATCTGAAACAGTGTTTACTATATTAAATATGTAAGTATTAACATATCCCCATGCAGTCACATCATCACCCTCTCTATCTTAACATCACCATGTAGTTGCATTAAAAAAATCATGCAGTCATATCACCACCACCATTGTAATATCACCACATAGTCATCATAAAAAACTCACTCAGTCATACATATCATCATTACTTCAGTAGTCATGGTTGTAGGAAAAAGTCAAGTCTAAAGTTTAGTGCAAAGTGTGACTTTCCTGTGTTATTTTACTGATCACCAATAGTCACAGGGACCACCATTCATAAACATCACGACGATGCATTTATAAACACTTAAACATCGCATACCACATTGTCAAAAATTACTGGACACTCGTATAAGTACCACGATATTGTTATAAACACCAGCACTTTATGCTTTATCATAATTATTTAATGAAACATACCTCATATATGTAGAATCAGAGTGTCAAGTGAACTAGACTTTGAATGTCAGTTGCACCCGGCTGGCTATGCTCAACAAACTGATGACTAAAAGGTCAACAAACGTTCGCCTTTCGATGTAATTATTATCAAATATTTAATTTTTCGTTTGTAAATTTTGTATTGCCAATAAAAATAAAAATTTATTTTAGAGTGGAAATTAACATTAAGCTGTTGTAATAGTTTGAACATTTCTAAATTTTCTTTCTTACTTTGGCAAATTTTTCATTTGGTTTGAAAACTTGTTCTGGTATTTCAACTCTCCCAATGGCACCCCCCTTCTTGGTTGTCACCTAGGGTGGCTTGCACCCCCCCCCCCTTCAAATTTGCTACTGTATATATATATAACCAAAACATCAGTAAGATTCACCTGTGGATATGAATAAGAAAACACTGGAATATAAGACTTTTTTTCCTTTTATTAATTTCTTCTACGAGTTTTGTGACTTCATAGATCGCTCTTCAGGAAATAATTTTACTGAGAATCTATAACAAAAAACGTACAAATACAGTTTTTCAACTAACATAAGTAATCTAAATTAAATACATATACTTTCCAAATGTACAAACATATAATACAGTCCATGTATGAATCACGTAGATTACAAATGTTCAGAAATATATAAAATGTTTTCATGGTTTCACAATTCCTACTAAATTTACAGAACCAATTACTTCTGCCCTCATACTACTATCTATTTAAAGTGGCACCAAAAACATTTATAAAACATTTGTCAAAAAATAATCTTTTATGTTTACCTTACATTCCCAAAAAGGGAAAACAAAAAAAAATGGTTCTTTTAGAATTTTATATTTTCTCAAGATACATTCATTAAATTGTTTACTGGCATATAGTGGGCTTTTTTTGGGACATCTAATATGGAATTTATGTAACTTTATCCTTAATCTTAAATTATCTGTTTCACCAATATATAATTCACCACAATTTCACATTTTAAAAGATATCTTATGTTCTTAGAATTGTAATTAAATGATAAAAAACAAAATTTCTTTGTTGTTGTTCTTTATTGTTTTGGTAGATTTCATATAACCTAAATTAGATAAAACACAGTTCTTTGTCTCACAACTGAAGATACCTTCTTTAGAAAAATATCTTTTTTTAGGTTTATTCAATAATCTATACAAATTTTTAGGTTGCCTCCTTGATAAAATAATTTTATTATTTTTGAATACATCTTTCAGTTTTTTATATACTATTTGTTTTACTTGTGTATTAACAAATGAAATATCAATATGTATATTTGGACAGTGAATCACAACAAAACATATAATATTCTCTTTAGATTCACTTATCTCGCTGTTTAAATGTTTTTTTATCAAAATAGCAATTTTAAAACCTCTTAATATAACTTTCTCCAGATAGTGACACTGAACTAAAACTTTATTCAGTTCTAATAATCTATTACCTCTTGTTTCTTCATTGGAAAACCAAACAATATAATCTACTTGCAAGATTTGCAGAAACATTTAATGTAGATTTTTTAGTAATCATCCCAAACATATAAAATTAAATGTTCTTGCAAATCTTGTTAGATGTTCCAAAGAAGCCCACTGTATGCCAGTAAACAATTTAATGAATGTATTTTGAGAAAATTTAAAATTCTAAAAGAACCATAATTTCATGTTTTCCCTTTTTGGGAATATAAAGTAAAACACAAAAGATCATTTATTGAAAAATATTTTATAAATGTTTTTGAAGCCATTTTAAATAGATAGTAGTAAGAGGGCAGAAGTAATTGGTTCTGTAAAGTCTAGGAATTGTGAAACTGTGAAAAGTTACAGAAAAGTAAAAGCAAGTAAAAGTATATCGACTAATTTTATTTATTTTTGAACATTTGTAATCTACGTGATTCATACATGGACTGTATTATATGTTTGTACATTTGGAAAGTATATGTATTTAATTTAGATTACTTATGTTTAGTTGAAAAGCTGTATTTGTATGGTTTTTGTTATAGATTCTCAGTAAAATTATTTCCTGAAGAGTGACCTTTGAAGTCACAAAACTGATAGAAGAAATTAATAAAAGAAGGAAAAAAAAGTGTGATATTCCTGTGTTTTCTGATATATATATTACCTTTTTCACCTTTGCTAATCATGATTTTTAAAAAGGTACAAAAAATTATAGATATTTATAACGTGAGATCTTACCTTCACTGCTCATGTCTTCTTTACTGATTGTTATACGAATTACGAAAATATAAAATACTAGGAATCAAACCAAATTTTGGTTGATAAATGTAGTTTTAAGAAAGGAGAGCATAGAGCTAAACAATTCAGTGTATACCAGGTTAAACAATATGACAAAGGCTTTTTCTGTTTTGTTTTGAATAAAAGACAATTTGAATTTTATATCCCTATAATTTTCAGTGTTCTAGAACCCTATCATGTTTTAGAAATTTGTTGTGTATGAAGCTACTTTCTCCATTTCTAGTCTTTTTGAATATGAAATTATATTCTACGACCTGGACACTTCAGTACAAACTCTAAGTGAAACACAGCTATCTGATGGACCAGAACTTATAGAAGTCCAGGAGCTGACTAGTCAACTAGGTATGTTTGTCAATCTTAGAGCCCATTTAGTATGTCTACAGTTAATGAGATAGTAAAAGCATTATACATATGTGACTTTTGTTCCTGTAAAAAATAATTATTTCAAAATATTATTTTGTGTAGACAATTCTTTATAAAAACTTTTTAATTTGAATCTTGAAAGATTTATTGTGGTTGTTAATTGTTTTTTTTTTTCAGTCTAAAATTCTTACATTGTAATAAACTCTTTTTGCAATTTTTCAATGGTATTTACTTCATATCCTAACAATGACATTAAAATGTGGGAATATTTTGATGAGGTTAAACCCATACTGTTTAATGAGTTCTCCTTGAAATTAAAATGATTTAAATATTTTGACTAATTGACATCATCTCCTCCCCTCACAACTTTGAATTTACTATTACAAAAACTATAAGGACATAACTGTTGAGTTATGGACTTTTGCTAATCCTATTTTTGGTAAAACATATAAATTTTCAAATGATTTCAACCAACAAACTAAGTCTTTTACTAGGAAAGGAACACATATGGAAAGATGATGGTGGTATGTACACTGAGGGTTAATCATACTTTTATAAGAAAAATATTCCAAGTCCCTTTCTACCCTTAAAACTACTTTTTTCCATCATTGATCATGGTCATTCTGATAGCTATGATCATACTACTATTCATCACTGCAAGTTCTGTTGTACTACCAAGCCTCTACAAAAAACACTATGACCATTCTTAGCACACACATCTTGACAGACATTTTTCATATCCTCCATTGTAACAAGCTTTTACAAAGTACAGTATTATCAGTCTTAACCCACACATTTTGAAAAACGTTCTTCAGATCCTCCACTATAACAAGCTTCTAGCCTTATACAAAAGACAGCAGAATCAAGTTTAATCCACACATCTTGACAGACTGTTTTCACAATATCCATTATAAAAGTTTGTACAAAAAACAGTATGACCATTCTTAGCACACACATCTTGACAGACATTTTTCATATCCTCCATTGTATTAAGCATCTACAAAGGATGGTATATTATCAATCTTAGTCCACACATCTTGACAGACATTCTTCAGATCTTCCACTGTATATGGACAAACAGCTTCCAAGATTGCATTTAAGCAAACAATCAAATGCACATAATTCCATTAAGGCTGCGTTGAGGTGCTTGACAAATATGTGATTGAATTGGATTGTTTTAATATAGTTTTTTCTCATGAAAACAGACATTGTTTTTGACGTGTGGCTGGAAGCTTGTGAGGCTTTGCCATCTTCAGATCACATTTCTAGTACCAAGGGATATGCCTCATATCATCATATTGGCTTTGTGGATCAGAGAGTTTTGTTTCATAACATAGCATAAATTTTCCAGATTGTGTTGGGATGTGGTCTTGAAGCCAACTACTGTCCTTAAGGCTCTGCTGTGCAAGCTTTTCTGGTTACATGGAGAACATTGAGATTCCCTTTTTTAAAATGTTGTCTTTTGGCTCTACACCATTTAACAATATTGCAATACAATTATTCTTCCTTGAAAAGGACTGTGGGTTAGTCCTCCAACCATAATTTTACCTGGTGGCATTGCACTGTTGAATGGTCATTAATTCACCTAGAATCAGATATTTAAATGCTAAACATGATGCGTGTGGTATAATGGCATGCCTGCAACTGTGGCAACATGACATTATTTTAACATATGCAAATCATTATTATAAAATGCTGTTAACTCTCTGTTTAGGTGTGAGTTAGCCATTCAGAATTGTGTGGCAGAACTTAGACACATGGGTTTTATATTTAATATACTTGTTAAGTGTGTTTTAGTGGAATATCTTTGTTGAATTCTGATTTAAAAGTTTAGTGCTATGTTGGGTTGATTGATTTAACTTTTTGGTTATTGTGGACCATACTGAGTTATGATTATACATAATGTCTTGTCTTGGTAATAGGTGATGAATGGTACGCTAGTAATGCTTCAACCAGATGTGATGAAGTAACAAAATCTGATAGATGCATTGAAGTAACAAAAATTATAAATAGAAATATAATTCTGTGATATTAAAACGTTTTGAAACCATATACATTTTCAGATGAATTCTCAAGTAAATACTTCCAATTCTATTAGCACTTTCATTAAATGTTTCACATCTTTCATGGTTTAGTTTTTTTTCAAATCATGTACCATTCACAAAATAGATACCATTTTTTATCAAAAATTCTATAAAGAAATTAATCATGAAATATCATTTGACTAAGCTAAGTGATCGAATATTTAATGAATATTTAGTTTTCATAACAAGTGTTAAAGTAATTATTTTAAAAGCAATAGTTATGACAAATTTTGTTACATAACTCTGTAAGAGTCATGCATTGTGTATGCAGTTTAATTGTTGTACTAGGCATGATAATATTGTTGACGTCATCTTATTAGAAGTACCTGATGACGACAAAACTTTGTTGAAACATTGTACATTTGCTGTTATGTTAAACTTATATTAAAGTTTTTCTTCATTATCCATTCAAGCTGTCTCCAAGCATTATTATCTTATTCAAAGCTTCCAAGGTTTTCTAGTGTAATATTGTTATTAGAGGGCTAGATAGTTCTAGATTTTTTGGTTGTGTGTTATAAGTACATGCAGATATAGAGAGGAAGTCAAGAAAGCCAGTTAACTAAGAGATAATTAGACAGATCTAGACTGAGTGATTGACAGATTAACAGTGATGGGCGATTTTTAAAGAATTTAATAAAGAAGAAAATGTTAAGTTAGTGAAAGTGATGTTAGACTGTGTGATTGTTAGTTTAGCTGTGATGGGTGATATTTTAAAGTGATTTTCACAGTGAACAGAGTTAATGAAAAATGATTTTCTAAAGTAATTGAACTTGTCTATGTGGACTTTGATGAATAGGAGAGAATTATTTAAAGTTCTGGATACAACTGTAGTAACCAATGGAGTAACGTAAGTGATTTTGTCACAGATTGTATAGTACGAAATGGAGTAGAGAAAAATAATTTGCCTTGTAAATTGGGTTTCGAAGTAACTGAACCAGCCTGTGTGGACTTTTGACAAGAAAAGAGAATTATTTTGAATTTTAGATACAACTGTTATATTACATAGTGTAAATATTTTGTACACATGTTTGACTTGTTTTGAATATATCATTCCAAAACAAGTAGATTGTGTGCTGTACGTTTAAGGTTTGAATTTATCGCCAACAAGTCATAGACACCTACTGTAAAAGAATCCCAGCCCATATATAAAACTCTGACAGCTGTAAATAATTCTGTTAAATAATAACATTTCATGGTTGAGTCTCATTAGTACTATATTCTGTTAGCAATTAGTGTTAATGGTTCTGGTTGTAAGTTAACATTTCTGATGTGCTTTATTTTAGAATTAAATAGTGTGTTTTAATTTATATTCAGCTGAAAAAATGTCTTCCTATTGGGTTGGAGTCTTTTGACATTCTCTGCAAGATTAGACTGATAAGGTGCAACAACATAAATTTCAAAAATTTCTCATAACATTAATGATGTTATTACTTTGTCAAAATACATTACTGTTGTTAAAAAGAAAATGAAGTTTATATTGTTTGTTTTGTCAATGTTTAATTTAGACTCAGCAAAAATTCGTTTGTTTTTCAGCCACTCTATTTTTTATATAATTATATCTTATTGGTAGGTCTGATTAGCTTGATTTTATTACATTGGAAGTATCTGTATTAAACCAACAACACCGTAGACATCACAATACTCTATGAATGATTTCAGTACAAATCTATAGAACATTTTGTGAATGTTTTCAGAGTAAAATTAGAATACTATATGAATACTGTAAGGGGTAATAATAGAATGTTTTATAAATCTTGTCAGATAACAATAGAATGTGTTATAAATGTTGTCAATAACAATAGCATACTTTATAATTGTTCTTAGTGTAACCTTAGAATAACATTATCAAAAAAGTAAACTTATAATAATAATAATAATAATAAAAGGTACACTTAATAAATAAAAATACAATACTATAAAACTAACAGCTAATTATTGCACATATAGGTCATTACAATATATTGAATATTCTAACTGTTTTTACAACTTAACAGTTCAAAGGACTAAGAGGACACCAACAGTTCTTCAGAAACAGGGTTTTGCAGACAAGTTGCATAGGTTTTACCACAAGCTTCATCTGAAAGGCTTTGGGCAAGGTTCTGCTGAGCTGAAGTAAGTAAATATTTACACAAAAATATTAAAGAAAGCAGTGACTTGTACTTTTGTAATATAGTTTTCAGCCAAATAAATTTTGAGTTATTTCATATGTTGATGTGCTATCACTAACAATAAAAGGCTTATTCCCTTTGTCACTCTGTTGAGAAAGTTTTCACACTCCTGTTTTGGTAATGCCCAACAATATACATCATTGCTTAGTAACAAAATTATCACCTGATTGTTCTTAAGCCAACTATGGGGTTTATGTTCAATGTTCATGTTGATTTGTTAGAAAGGTTTGTTTTTTATTCTTTATTGTTTTGATAACTTTAGTGATATAATAGCAAAATAGCTTAATTCCGAAGTTTTATGACATTGAGTTATAGCCATAACCAAAATAATATTTACTAAGTAGTGTTTCAGCTAAGCCTTACATTACATTTATGTATTAGGTCTAATGCTTAAATTAGACAACAAATAGGTCTGCTATTACTAACATTATAGAGTCAGTGTTTACAAAGTTTTAAGTGGTGAATAAATGTTGATTAATGAATATTCTTTTGGTATTTTAATATTATCTACTTGTCCTTAAAACACACAAAAAATTTTTTATTACTACCAAATATCTTTTATCCTTTCTACAGTAGAAAGAGTTGAAAATTTGTGTTGGTGTTTAAAAAATTTTAAGTGGTGAATAAATGTTAGTTAATAAATATTCTTTTGGTATTTTAATATATATATATATATATATATATACATATTATCTTTCTTGGCCTTAAAACATAAAAAAAAATGTTTATTACTACCAAATATCTTTTATCCTTTGTACAGTTGAAAGAGTTGAAAATTTGTGTCAGAATGTTTGCACTATGTTTTCTACTTCCTGACCTAGAATACAGTGAAAAGGCTCAAGAGTGCTATTTAAGTCTCTTTCAAAGTGCACATGTACTTTTGTTCATGTTAACATTTAATTTTTCTG